CGAGGGGAGGGGATAGTTGGAGTGGTTGACGAGGGGAGGGGGAGGGATAGTTGGAGTGGTTGACGAGAGGGGGGGGGGATAGTTGGAGTGGTTGACGAGGGGAGGGGGGGATAGTTGGAGTGGTTGACGAGGGGAGGGAAGGGATAGTTGGAGTGGTTGACGAGGGGAGAGGGGGGGGATAGTTGGAGTGGTTGACGAGGGGAGAGGGGGGGGATAGTTGGAGTGGTTGACGAGGGGAGAGGGGGGGGGATAGTTGGAGTGGTTGACGAGGGGAGAGGGGGGGGATAGTTGGAGTGGTTGGCGAGAGGGGGGGGGATAGTTGGAGTGGTTGACGAGAGGGGGGGGGATAGTTGGAGTGGTTGACGAGAGGGGGGGGGATAGTTGGAGTGGTTGACGAGGGGAGGGGATAGTTGGAGTGGTTGACGAGAGGGGGGGGGATAGTTGGAGTGGTTGACGAGAGGGGGGGGGGATAGTTGGAGTGGTTGACGAGAGGGGGGGGGTAGTTGGAGTGGTTGACGAGGGGAGGGGATAGTTGGAGTGGTTGACGAGGGGAGGGGGGGGGATAGTTGGAGTGGTTGACGAGAGGAGAGGGGGGGGGATAGTTGGAGTGGTTGACGAGGGGAGAGGGGGGGGGATAGTTGGAGTGGTTGACGAGGGGGGGGGATAGTTGGAGTGGTTGACGAGGGGGGGGATAGTTGGAGTGGTTGACGAGGGGAGGGGGGGATAGTTGGAGTGGTTGACGAGGGGGGTGATAGTTGGAGTGGTTGACGAGGGGAGGGGGGGATAGTTGGAGTGGTTGACGAGGGGAGGGGGGGATAGTTGGAGTGGTTGACGAGGGGGGGGATAGTTGGAGTGGTTGACGAGGGGGGGGGATAGTTGGAGTGGTTGACGAGGGGGGGGATAGTTGGAGTGGTTGACGAGGGGAGGGGATAGTTGGAGTGGTTGACGAGGGGGGGGATAGTTGGAGTGGTTGACGAGGGGAGGGGATAGTTGGAGTGGTTGACGAGGGGGGGGGGGAGTTGGAGTGGTTGACGAGGGGGGGGGGGGGAGTTGGAGTGGTTGACGAGGGGGGGGGGAGTTGGAGTGGTTGACGAGGGGGGGGGGGAGTTGGAGTGGTTGACGAGGGGGGGGGGGAGTTGGAGTGGTTGACGAGGGGGGGGGGAGTTGGAGTGGTTGACGAGGGGGGGGGGGGGAGTTGGAGTGGTTGACGAGGGGGGGGGGGGAGTTGGAGTGGTTGACGAGGGGGGGGGGGGGAGTTGGAGTGGTTGACGAGGGGGGGGGGATAGTTGGAGTGGTTGACGAGGGGAGGGGGGGGGTAGTTGGAGTGGTTGACGAGGGGAGGGGGGGGATAGTTGGAGTGGTTGACGAGGGGGGGGGTAGTTGGAGTGGTTGACGAGGGGGGGGGTAGTTGGAGTGGTTGACGAGGGGGGGGGTAGTTGGAGTGGTTGGGGAGGGGGGGTAGTTGGAGTGGTTGACGAGGGGGGGGGTAGTTGGAGTGGTTGGGGAGGGGGGGGTAGTTGGAGTGGTTGACGAGGGCAGGGGGGGGGTAGTTGGAGTGGTTGACGAGGGGGGGCGGAGTTGGAGTGGTTGGAGAGGGGGGGGGTAGTTGGAGTGGTTGACGAGGGGGGGGGTAGTTGGAGTGGTTGACGAGGGGGGGGGAGTTGGAGTGGTTGACGAGGGGGGGGGAGTTGGAGTGGTTGGGGAGGGGGGGGGTAGTTGGAGTGGTTGACGAGGGGAGGGAGTTGGAGTGGTTGACGAGGGGGAGGGGGGGGAGTAGGAGTGGTTGACGAGGGGTGGGGGGGAGTTGGAGTGGTTGACGACGAGGAGCAGGGGGGGGAGTTGTTGACGAGGGGAAGGGGGAGTTGGAGTGGTTGACGAGGGGGAGGGGGGGGAGTAGGAGTGGTTGACGAGGGGTGGTTGAGTGGTTGGCCGGGGGGGTGGGGGGGTTGGCCAGGGGGTGGAGGGGGGCGAGTTGTTGGCCGGGGGGAGAGATGGTTGTGCAAGTGGTCTGTTGAATGGTGGATGAGTGGCATGTTGAGGCGTTTGTAAAGAGGGAGGTGAAATGATGGGAATGGGATCGTGAGTCGTGAGGGACTTGGTGGTGAGAGAGGTGAGCGGTGAGGGTCGCGCCCCTTTGGCCGCGCACGTGTCTCCTGCCTGGCGACGCCCCTCGCTGGTCCGGGCTCTCGGATTTGTCAACGGCGGTCACGTGGAGCTTCCCCGCCCCACGTGCTGTTGACGTCATTCCGCGGTGTAAACACGGGGTGATTACATTCAGTAGCGCGGATAGGAACGGGAATCGCGAGGGGATCTGACCGGGACCGTGAGGGAGTTTGACGGGGACCCTGACGGTACCTTGACAGGAACCGTGAGGGGAACCCCGGTCTGCATTGAGAACCGTGAGAGGCACTCCGGTCTACATTTAGGATCGCGAAAACGACCGCCGAGGCAATACACGGGCCAGATTGTGCTGTAGAGATTGTAGCAGCAACTCCTGTGTCATAGGGGATCGAATCAAGGGGGGGCCTTCGATTGTAACGGGGATCCCGTGGGTTAATAACGCGGACTGCTGCGCTGCTGTCCGGGCCTCTCGCTCCTCCCGTCCGCGCTGCTCTGGTGCGCAGCTGCCTTGACGACTTCGCATGGAGCGAGCGGTGATGAGGGAGGTGGTGATGTTGAGGGTGGTTGGCGGGGGGGTGATGGGGGGGGATGAGAGGATATGGTGTGGGTGATGGGATTTGCTCGTGCTGCATTGTCTATCGGTGATCTTTTCTGCCATCCCCAGTCTCCCTCCCGACCGCACCTAGCCTGGTACACTTTGCCTTTTACCGACTAGTTTTAAGTTTAACATTGGAATATACTGCGTGTGGCTGTGTTTTGGCATGATTGGCGAGTTGGTGACTGGCTTGAGTTCCTGGGTGGTTAATTGGGTGGGGTGGCTAGGCCCGTGAAACGGTGGGGACTTACGGGGGGGTGGAACCATGGTGGTTATGGCAGACCTGCCGCTGTGACTTTGGCAGAGGATTTGACCGCACCCATACGAAGGCCCTCTGCAAACTCTTCTTGAGAATCGTCCTGTACACTTGCAGAAGGAAGCAATGGCGTGGTGGAATAAACAGCATTGGTCGTCATGAGCTCTTGTATATAGGTGTTTTAGTCACTGGTAAATGCATTGCACTAATTACTGAAAAATATTGTTTATTCATGGGCTCGTTACTATCCTTATTGGCACTGCCTAAGGTAGTGAAACGTACATGCGTTGCTTTGGAAAATTGTATAACATCCGATCTGTACAAAAAATATGGGAAACGTGTCTGGGGTCTGAAGAGGAAGTTTGAGAATTTAGTTCTTGTTTGGCAGATCTGGGACGGGTGGGGGGAGGACTCCTGCATCTCTGAAACCAGAGTTGAGATTTCATAGCTACAGTGAAGGCCCTCGGTAGATGTATGCAGATGCCATTGCCATTTGGACGTGATTGCTATACAAATGATTGCTTATTAATGTTTAGTAACCACATGAATTCTGTACCACTGCTTTGACACCAAAGATGGCACCATAATATCAATGCCTAATGGATGATGCAGTGTGGGCTTTTTGGCTGCATTTTTGTCTGCTCATGGGTGATTGAACACGGGCAAGCTGATGCAGTGTGGGGCACAGGTGGTGCATATGCTATGCCAGTCACGTCAATCTGTTAACCCATAACACTTAGATCTGCCATGTGATCTCTCTGGCAGTGAGTCGTCAACGTGCACCTAGCCTGGCACCATGGTCTGCAGTGGCAGCACCGTCACTTGATGACAAATGGTGGCTGGTGTGATTTGTGTGCGAATGTGCGTGCACATGAGTTCGCATGCTTGACACCACATCAGTGAATGCACCAAAACCTGTCGGATCTGAAACCCAGCAGAGTTTAGCCTTGGTGACTGGATGGGAGACTCTGGGAATACTCAGTTTGGAGTCGATGGATTTGGTCTGGATTTAATCCATCTGTGGAGTTTTGAGTTGTACCCCCCCCCCCCCCCCCCCCCCCCCCCCCCCCCCCCCGTGTACACCTCCGATTAGCACTGTTGCCTACATACGGTACAAAGGAAGTTCGGCATACTGTATGCGTGTGTTTTCGCTGCATACTGTTGTCGCGTATGCCCAACACTGGTAGCTTTGGCCAAACATCCGAGTATTATCCTGGGTAATTGAGAGTACTCGTGCCTAATGGCTGGGCACATTCCAGATTTTATGCCATCAGCGCTTGGAAGCTAAGAAGGCTCAAGCCTGGATGGGCCACCACATGTTAGGTTGTCATTGGCTGCTGCATGCTTGTGCTTTGTGAGCAAGAGTGCAGTGGAGAATATTTTTTTGTACTGTACTTGCTTTCTCATTTATGCTTTCCAGCTTCACCAAACTGCACTGACCAGTGAAGTATTGTTAAGTAACCCCAATGACTCACGCGTGGGGGGAAGCCTATGCACAGCAGTGGTGGGTTCACAAACGGACTGAATGTACATTTTTGTGGAAGAGTAGGCCAAATACTCATTTCTAAAGTGTCCTCTAATGCTTCCCTGTAGTGGAGGCCCCTTTTGCAAGTGGTAACACAAGCGATTTGCTGTTGCACCTTTTCCTATTGACGGTCTCATTTAATGACGGCCATTGCCCTGTGCAGGATGCGTTTGAGGGAGGAGGGGAACGGCGGGGAGCATCGGAGCGCCCGTGCGACATGGATGCCCGCGAGCCTATGGGGGGTCTGCAGGGGCAAGACTCCCATGACCCCCTTGGGGGTTTCCGGGGGAGGGAGGCCCTGGGTTGCCCGGACTCTGACGTGGCTATGCATCTGAGCAGTCTGCTGGACAGTGCTCTGGACCTGCAGGGAGCGCCACTCGGTACCACCGGCCTGCGCGGTGAGTGCTGCTAGTTCTACGGTGGTGGGAGGTTGTGGAGAGGGGGAGGATGGTGGGGGAGCATTGTGTTAATGCTGAGGGGCGAGGCAACACAACCTCACAATAGCGGTTGTGCTCACTCTGAAGGAGTGGAAGAGTGCGTTTGTCTGCGACCCAGTTTACATGAATGAACAGTTGCTGATCACAGGACCAAAGGCCTAAAATGTCAAACTGCCAACAACATAGAGCTATATAAATTGTGATGGATGAAAGTTGATACGTTTTTGAATTGAGGAAAGTGATTTTAAGAGCTGGTGACTGGAAGGAATTCTCATTTGGTGGTGCGAGCCAAGCAGTGACTTTGTCATGGAGCTGTGGCTTATAAAGTTTGGCGTCTGTTGGGCTGTCCTCCCTTCTCCTGGGGGGGTGGGGGTTGAGGTCTAGCTGGTGAAATGAGGGTGGCGCTGAACTGACTAAATGCCCTCCCTGCTATTACCGTCATGTTGACCGCCGGTACTGCTGGGCGATAGCACCACGAATTTCGATGAAGGAAATAAGTTTGCCCTTGAGTTCACGTCCTCGCTTTAACTTAGAGGCCGCCCTGTAAGCTGGTAGCGTTGGGGACGGATGGACGGTGTCGGTGTTTCTGGTTAAATGCGGGACTGCAGCAGCGCTGGTATTCCTGAAGGTGAAGGTGGCACCGCGATTACGGCAGCGCAGAGGCCTGCGCCCCCCCCCCGCCGGCTGAGAATGCGCTAGCGGAGCAGTGCCAGATGGCTGCTGATGAAAAGCGCTGGCGAATGTGATTGTGAGTCACTGCACACATGGTCCTCCGGCGGTGCTGCGTCAGCGCTGCAGCACAGCGCCCCGCGCACAACGCAGTTGGCTCAGCCGCTGCTCGCCGGGTTGGCTGTCTGCTGCAGCTCCATCTGCAGGTCGCCAGGCTGCGACGTCGTTCACGGCCACTGCTGTGAGTTGCTGCTGCTGCAGCCGGGACTCTTGACTTGTGATTGCTCATCTCCCTCTTGATTTTTTTATTTCCACGGATATGGGCTTGTTGGCTGTCCAGCGGGTGGTGCTGTGTTTGTGTGCCTGCTCTGAGGCTGGATGTTATGAGCTGACAATGTTAATGCCAGAGCTGGGTGCTGAGTGTAAGGGCAGCCCCGTGGGGGGAAGGGGGGAATGGGTGGAGTGCTGACAGCGCTGCCGTTATGGCACGTGTGCCGCCCTCGCTCCACCGTGTTCCCCCTGTAGGGCAGAGCGCCCCACCACTGCCCATTGCTGGCAGCCCCGTTATTGTTGCCATGTGCGCTTGACTGGTGGTGGTGGAGTTTGAGTTGCATCATGCGCGTGCTGCTGCTGTGTGGATGCAGCAAAGCAGTGCCTTCGGGCTGCGCCACAGAAGCTTTCAGGAGCTGCAAGCATTCGTCCACAGAGTGATGCAGCCTTGGAAAGGTTTTCTCTCTTTACTGCAAAGTCATGGCTCTGTGCGCAGAGCGCATCGGGGATGTGTTCATGTGCGCCAAAGCTGTGCGGTAAAATCGTGTTGAGAGCGTGTGTGATATTTGCATTTATTGTAAAAGTAAGGGATGTGTGCTGGAAGCTGCGACTGTTTGGTATGTGTGCATGTGTTTTTGGATTGAGTGGCTAGTGCTGCGAGTGGTCTGTGGTGGAATGTAAATGTGAGAGGTGTACGTCGTGTCTGGTATGAGTGCAATATTGGCTAATGTGTTGTATGGTGTCTCTGCGTGTTTAAACAATGCCATTTTGGTGCGTGGTGTCCCAGGAGGATTTACTACTGCCAGTGTCCTCACTGTGCCTTTGCGGTGTTGGTTGTGCTTGCACTGCAGGGGTGTGCAGTGCAGAATGCAGTTTGATCCATGGAGCACTTGGCTGTCTGCCCTGCTCACTGCTCCTTAAGCTTTGTCTTGCATACAGACTGGGTACAGCATAAACACCACGGGATGGTGCCTGCGTCAGATGCCGTTACCTCCGTCAAACTCCTCTGTCTAACTGTTTTGGGATCGTCACGTGGTGTCCGTTGTGCAAATTGGTTGCACGCATGTGGGTACGTGCCGTGGGTGCATACACATTATGGGGAGCAGTAGTGCCATGAATTGCAACGCTGTACTACAAACCCTGTGACTCGTTCCAATGACTAGTGAATCAATTCCTGGATCGACTGTCTTGAGTTGCATTGTGTAAACATGAGCACTGGGGAGACGAAAGGTGTCGGTGTGGAGCTGGCCTACCCACTCCTGCGTGCAGTGTTGGCCATCATAGGTACTTCTGAACAATACTTGCCCCAACAGTCTAAAGGATATACGGGGGGGGGGTGGAGGGCGTCTTTTGTACGTACTTTCACATCTGTCTTTGTCTTCTCGTGTGTGTTTGCAGACTGCCTCATGCCGTGGGGCTCCTTGTCGGACATGTTCCCAATGGCCCCCGATGTGACGCCCTCCCTGATGGACTCCATGCCAGGCCCCGACCCCCCACCAGGGTTTTGCAGGGGAAGTGGGGGTGGCCCCCCTTCGTGGGATTCCCCCCGGAACCATCTCCCTTACCACCGGGGCAGCCTCGATGTAACCAGCACTCCCCTCGGTCAGCAGAGACAGACCCATACACCCCCCCCCCCCCTTGTCTCCTCTCTTAGAGATTAATGTGATTTTCTGAAGTTATTTGACATATTCACTTAAATTGCATCCTTGAACCAATCCTGGGCCTCCCATAGAGGTGGTAAGTGCTAATTTGTACTCGTGTCAGTGTTGGGGCTTTGTGCAGCAGCGACATGACTGCTGCCATAGGGCTCTGAGCTACAAGAGCAGGAAACCTTTCGACCTTAATCGTGTGAGCTTCTCTAAGAACTCTGGTACGAGAGGGTAAGCAACTTGACTGCAGTGTCACGATGTAATTCTAAAAGTTGTGATAGTTGGTGCATGTGTCTTGGCCCCCCCACCGCAACCAGTACCACCCCACCCACCGAAGTACTTCCGCCACTTTGTGACGCTGTGGTGCCGTGCTGCTTTTCAGGTCTCGGTCTGGGTGATTTGAGCGGCGGAGGTGGAGGTTGTGATGACATAGGGGCGGGCGGCTACCCCCTGCCTCGGCGGGGATTCCCCCCCGGCGCGATGGGGCCCGGAGGCCGTTGCGGGGTGGGCCACGGCGGAGGAATCCACCAGGGGGCCCGCGGATTCTCTGATGACGGGGGAGACGCTCTCAGCAGGGTTCTCAGCCTGGGGCCACTGGGCCGTCTGCAGGGTGTCCGTGGGGACGATGGCAGCAGCATGGACCTTGCGCCCGTGCTAGTGGCGATGCATGGGGGACTGCCCCGTGCCGGCAAAGCTGGCGGTGTGAGCGACTCCCGGTCCTCCAGCCCCGCTGACTCTGACACAAGCGGCTTCAGCTCCGGCTCGGAGATGATCGACCTTGTGGTAGGACCACATGGCGCACTGCTACTGGTGCCATTACCGTAGCTGCATGGCACATGCATGTGGGGGTGGCCGGATGTCAATTTTTAAGCTGACGAGCGGTTGATTTGGTCATATATTAAATGCATAGCTACTGAATGTGGCTGCGCCTGAGGAACAACAGGGTCTTTCAGCCCCACAAAAATACCTTCCTGGGTATTTTGTCATCTTATACTCCACCCCCTCAACTCACCATGAGTGATGGAGCAGTTGTGGAGAGTAGAGAAGTTTCCACATCTGGGCAGTGTACTTGTAACCAGCTCCGCTTTGGCAGCAAAGGTCTCGCTCTGAATCAATTGAGTGGCATATTTTAATTGGCTGCATAATGCTTAATGCATGTCTGTCAGTCATGCCCCCTTCCCTTTTAGGATTGCACTGGTTTGAAAAGTTCAGGCTTGACCTGTTTTGAGCCATCCTGGGTTTAACCAGGCTGGATTGTGAGAGCTTACAGATCCTTCAGAGATTTGGATAGTCCTATCGGTGAGCTCCTCTGGAAGGTGAGGATGTTAGCTTGGTCAAGTCGCTCACATGCCCAACCAGCACATGCCTAAGCAGCTTCTATTTGGCCTAATCGAGGAGGCTAAACCAGGGTGTGGCACAGGCCAGAGCCCTGAGCAGCAAAAACGTAGCAAGTTGGCACAGTGGGGAGCCCTGGTGGTGCATCTGCCAGTGGTCTCATGCTACCCATGACACCTTAGTCTGTCTTGCGACCTACCAGCAAGCCTTCAACACAACTTGATTTCATGGTGTACTGAGCCAAGTACAAACGATGTTACCGCCGCTTGGTTGCGAATGGCTGTATGCCTGTACTTGTTTGCATGGGTGTACACGTACATTTGTGTGTACACCTGCATGTCTGCCTGCGTTTGGGATTCAGTCAGGGCTGCACATCTCCCCATCGCTCTACTCGCCGTTCCTGACCCAGAACAAGGAGTTGCTGTGCCGCCCGTTCAGCCCGCTCGCCGAGGAGGACTCTGGCCTCGACAGCACCACCCTCACCAGCCTGGCGGCAATGGCTGCGTGCAGTGGCATGGGGGGCCTGATGGGCGCCGGCGCCCTGGCCAGCCTTGGTGCTCACAGCCCTTCGGCCGCCGTTGCGGGCGGTGGCGCTGCCGGGGGACCGAGTGCCGGGCTGCTGTTGGATCGGCGCTGGTCGGGCTGGGGCAACTTCTACAGCCCGAACGACCCCTACAGCATCGAGCAGCAGGCGCGGCTCCACCGCCAGGCGGCCGGTGAGGGTTTCACCGATGTCTCGACTCTTCTAGTGGCTCCTCCGGCTGTAACCCAGTCTCGATGTGGCACCCGCAGCGATGCGTCGTGGAATCGCAACCGGCCACGTAACACCACACTCGCCCACTACACCCGGCGCGTTCACCAGTGGCGCCATTGCTGCAAGGGCCTCTTCTCGTGGCAATTGTAGGACCCTGCAGGAACGATCTTGGCAAACTAATAAGCGGCCAGCATGCTGATGAGACTGGAAGATGTGCGCAGTGTTGGGGTACGGGGGAAGGTTGCGGGGTTAGTGGTTGTTGGGTGCACCATGTGGCACAGGCCCATGGGGTACAATACCCTGCGGTGAGGAACGTGGCCTATTCACTACACCACGTGCATTGCACCGCATCCACGTGCGTCATGGTGTGCTTTGTGAAGGCAATGTGGTGGGGGCATGGTTGTAAAGGGTGCGGCCTGTGCGGTGTGCAGCGGTGAGCGAGGCGACGTGCACATGGAGCGGCCAGCTGCCCCCACGCAGCCACAAGAGCCCCATCTTCTCCCCCAAGGTGTTCCTAGGTGGCGTTCCCTGGGACATCACCGAAGGTGCGTGCCCCCCCCACCCTGCCTCCTACTATTTCAGACCTGTCTCCCTGCGATCAAGTCGTGGGTGAGGTAAAATGCCCTCGTACGCCGCATCCGTGGGTAGCACGTCGTTATGCTGGCGATGCCGTGGGCCGCAGCGGTTGGCACTTCGAACGTTGCTACTGGTGCAGGATATCTGAACTGTTCCTCGGCCTCCCCTTGGTGGACATGGCCTTTAATCTTGTTTGAATGTCGGTGATGGGGAGATGAAGGTAACCTGGTGTGGTGCAAGCCACACCAGGCTACCTTCAGGTCCACCAGACAAAAGTCTGGTGGACCTTAGTCCTCAACTTAAGTGGAGGAATTGGGTGAAGATCATTGGCAGAAAGTTGAGCTCTATTTTATGCAAGGCACACTGAGCTATATTGCTGCTTTTTCAGAAGCGACCTGGCCACAACTGATAGCCCAATGAAGTACGTTGTGGAGATTAAAATAACCAAATTATCTTAAATGCATATTTTTAAATGTAGGGGAAAAAACCAGAGGACCTTTAGAAACATTTAAACTACCACAGGGAGAACACAAACTCCAAATACACAGGTGTCAGGATAGACGTCGAACCGACAACATCCTGTATACCAGGCGAGGCAGTTAACATGTCACCACTGCGGCGGTTGGTGGGGGCCAGCTGTGGTGGTGGCCGGACCTGGTGTTTGGTGACGAGGGCCCCTTGCCAGCACTTGTCTTGTTTGTGATGCGCAGCCCTCATTATCTTGTCTCACCTCTTTACAGCCGGCCTCATCAATTGCTTCAAGATGTTTGGTTCGGTGAGTGTGGAGTGGCCGGGTAAGGATGGCAAACACCCGCGCTACCCACCCAAAGGTAATATGCCCAAAGGTAATGCGTGCAGAGGCTCTGGTAATGAACCCTTCTGTTACTTGTTGCCACCTCCCCGCTCACCCCCATGATGTGGTGCTGCACGGTGTGACGTCATCGCTGCACGGTGAGCACGGGGTGGTGATGGTGGCGACGGCAGCATCTACGGTCCCGGTGGGGGGGGGGGGCAGGGGTATCCAAGACCAAGCCAGAGTTTTCTGGGGCTAAGTGCTGGCAATCACATTGGTGTCCCCTGAATTATAAGTGACAGTTGCAAAAAAAACTGGCCTTTTGTGGCACCCTCTTTTGTGAGGCCCAAGACAAATTGCCTCTTGTCCCCCCCCCCCCCACTCTGGGTGAGTTTGGGAAGGTCTGATGGGGTCCTCCCTCCCCCCCTCCCCCCATTCCTTGGTGGCATCCAACAAGTCTAGACCCCATGGATGCAGACTCTGCTTCTGCATTTCGAGTATGAAATTGTTATAGCCATCGCTGTATACATTCAAGCAAACTGAATTTGTAGTGGCGGGGGAGTTGGAGTTTACACACAAAGATAATTTCAGTGTTTGACTTAAAATCGCGACGTATTACTAACAGTGGTTGAATTCACAGTGCAGGGGTTCGCGTTTCCGCCAGGGGAAGCGTGAGCGGTGGGTGTTGCGAGCAGTATGCGCGAGTGGTGTTCAGTCATGTTATCATAAATGAACTTCGATTTAAAGCTTTCGTGACTGCAAGGATTCATCTTTTGGTTCTTTCGGTAAAGTCACGTAGAATAAGAATAAAATAATAAATAAAATAACAAAATTCTCACGACGTTTCGGCCACAACACAAGTGGGCTTCAGGTGAAAGGAACAGACCTGTTGGGACGACAGAGCTTCAATGAACGTTGTTAAGATTCGTAGCGTCTTTTAAGCTGGTTTAGAGAAGTGAGGCACCTTGACACAGGGGTTTACATATAAAACAGGAGAATTTAGCATTGAAATAGCCGAGTGATTAGCTTGTGATTGGTCATAGAAATAGCTATGTTAAAGTCAAAGCCTACACATCCACAGAGCCACCCAGTATAAATCAGTCGTATATTTGATTTGTACTAGGTGCCTCTGGATGTGTAGGCTTTGACTTTAATAGCCATTTCTGTGACCAGTCACAAGCAAATCACTCGGCTATTTCAATACTAAAGTCTGTTTTTATATGTAAACTCCTTTGTCAAGGTGCCTCACTTCTCTAAACAGCTTAAAAGACGCTACGAATCTTAACGTTCATTGAAGCTCTGTCGTCGCGACAGGTCTGTTCCTTTCACCTGAAGAAGGCCACTTGTGTTGTGGCCGAAACGTCGTGAGAATTTTATTTTATTTAATTTTATTAATTTATTATTTTATTCTCATTTTACGTGACTTTACCGAAAGAAGATAAATGAACTTGTGTTGGCTGTGGTGTTCTGCAGCCATGGTGCAGGTGGTAGAACAATACAATTTCCCCTTCTCCCGCTAACCCAGTTGAACCTGGTAGGGATGGATGGATGATGCGAAATTTTAATTTGTGGCGCGCAATTGCGCCATCCGTTTCCTCACGAGCTGTGGCACGCCTGGGTTTGTCCCTCACTGACGCATGTCCATCTATGCATGCGCTCCTGTACCTACGTGCGTGTCGCAGGCTACGTGTACATTCTGTTTGAGTCTGAGAAGTCAGTGCGTGCGCTGCTCCAGGCCTGCACCCACGACTTCCGCAGCAGTGATGGCTGCGGCGACTATTACTACAAGGTGTCGTCACGTCGAATGCGCTGCAAGGAGGTGAGGGAGAAGCGGGATGCGGGAGTGTTGTGGGGGGGACCCCACATGGGGGGACCCTGAATGGTAACATGCGAGTCTTAATGAGTCTCCCTACCTGCTCCCCCACAATTCAAATAATTTTCATCTCACACTACAACATCCATCCCACATCCCCAATGTCATCTCATGGCTCATCGTCTTCTCGCACTGCCACGTCTCAAATCCAGATCATCCATGCTCACCTGTGTTAATCTTCAACTTGATTAATCTCCTTTTAACCAAGAAAATCAGCTCCACTCATCTTTGTAACCCATCCCCCCACAGCATGATTCAAATCAAAAATACACTCGGGTTCTTTCGGTAAAGTCATAGGTATAAAATAAATCCTAACGTTTCGATTGCAACACAAGCAATCATCAGGTGGGAAAACCACAGCAAGAAAATTTTTTGAACTGGGAGAGATGCAGTGGTAAGAGGTTATATAGGGGATTTAATTAATTTTGTCTTGCATGACTTCCAGTTGCTTTGCGTGTTTCTCCTTTCTGTATAATTGTTTATTTAATAATGCATGTAACTTGTTTATGCTCCTCCCATGTGTGGATTGGCGTGCATCACAAGTGAGTTTGTCAGAACAGCGGTACCTTCCAGTGCTCCAACATCTGTGCTTGCTACCTTTGGCAGTCCAGGGAAGTTGAGTATATTCGGTTAACTTACTACTTCAGGGAAACTCATCCAACCGTGACTGGATGCCCACTTGCCCCCCCTCCCCTTGACATGGCCCTCCTCCCCCACCATCCTGCCGCAGGTGCAAGTGATCCCTTGGGTGCTGTCGGACAGCAACTACGTGCGGAGTCAATCGCAGCGCCTGGACCCGAGCAAGACGGTGTTTGTGGGCGCATTGCACGGCATGCTCAATGCAGAGGGCCTCACCACCATCATGAACGACCTGTTTGGTGGTGTTGTCTACGCTGGCATTGACACGGACAAGCACCGCTACCCCATTGGTGACGATCGCCACGCACTCTTGTTCGTACAAAGCTCGCCTGAAAGACTGGTGTAACCAACAGCATCCAAATATCAGGCCGATGGGCACAGCTCAAATTTAAAGGAATCGCAAGCCACAGTAGTGCAACTATCGCCATGCAACCTAAACGAACTGTATAGTGGACCACTGTGCCAATCCTTTAATTGAAGAGAAACAGCATAACAACACTAACTCTCGTGAAGCCCTCTTTGTGGCCGAGACCTCTAATGTTGACATTTAGCTCATGAACATTGCTGCCCATATGCAAGAGAATGGCCATAATGAATTATTCAAAAGTGCTGTTAGCAAGCACCTATTAAGGATGGCACGGAACATGGAGGGGGTGGGGTGGGCTTCCTTTGCCCAGTGCTGATGTTTACACACCCCACCAAGTAGTCCATGACAGGCAGCCAATTGAGACCAGTTCATATATTTGTCACCAATTCAGCTGTGAATGGGAATTGAACTCTAGCTACCGGGTTTGCAGCATCCTGCTCACTCGGGCATGCTCGCATGCCGCTACAACTGTCGTCATATCCAGGGTTGGTGTGGTGGGCATGCACAGATGTGGGGTTCACCAGTGTTGGTCGACTTCTGGATGTGTGGGCTTGCGGAATGGTGTGGCGATGCCGCTCTGCGAGCTGATGCTGCATGTGGTCATTTCTCCGAGTTGTCCCTTGGGAGTAATGTAGCTATACCCCTGCCCCCTTGTACAGCATCCACATGCTGTCTGTGCGTTGTAGCTCTGGCACGCCCAGCGTAACGTGCGCCACCTCCCCTTATTGCGTTGCAGGTTCAGGGCGCGTGACGTTCAACAATCACAAGAGCTACATGAAGGCCGTCAATGCTGCCTTCATCGAGATCAAGACACCCAAGTTCACCAAGAAGGTCTGTTGGTGCTGCCCCCCCCGTCCAGTTTTTCTGCTCTTGCCACATTGCCTATGCCACGAGTGTGTGAGGCTCTGCATAGTGCTGGCGTTGACCCCTCACATCTGTGTGCATGTCCCATTGCAGCTCCAGGTGGATCCGTATTTGGAAGAGTCCATCTGCCAGCTGTGCTGCTCGCAGGCTGGCCCTTACTTCTGCCGTGAGATGGTACAGTCCCGTTTCCCATTAGTCTGTTTTAATGTTAATTTGCGAATGTAGTTCTGTGAAGTGTCTTGGACTCTGACAAGGCCCAGCGCTACCGCATTCCTCGCTTAGTGCAGAGGTTTGCAGTTTGTATCCAGGCCTCCTTGGTTACTGCGGTGTACGTCTCAACCATAAAACCCTACACGCCATCTGCTGCACAGGGAACACTAAATATCCTGTGGGATCATTTGAAATCAACAGTCAGCCATTGTGATGTCAGCCCAAATTTGGCACCAAATTTTTTTTTTAATTAATAAATGGGATTACACGACAGCATTGCCCCCTACTGGAAGACTATCCATCTGTGAAACGCAGCACCTTGGTGATAGTCCTGCGCTATGAGAACTGCACTTCTCAAACATAGTTTATAATCGGTCCCCCTGCTGCTCTGCCTCCCCCAGGCTTGTTTCAAGTACTTCTGCAAGTCCTGCTGGCATTGGCAACATTCCCTGGAGACACTGCGGCACCACCAGCCGCTCATGCGCAACCAGAAGAGCCGCGACTTCATTTGAGCAGGGAGGTGATGGGGGGGGGGGGGGGCGCCCCAGCCTCCGGTGCCACCGCCCGCCTGCGCCCACGCATGCATGCCCACGTGCGTACGTGGGGTGTGCGGCGACGATGGTGCCGCTCGGTTCCCCTGGGTCTCCGCGTACGGTTTATTGCGGCTCGCGACGGGACTCGGCCATCTTTTTAACACTTTAAGGAAATGCCACCGGCTGCGAGTGTAGCGTTGAATTTTAGCGCGCTTCAACCTCTGTCGGCGGCTCCTTAACGCCGACTCTAAACGAGCAACCAAAACGTAAACCGCAGCATGCCAAGCCTCGTAGTCTCTGCTTGCTCACTCAGGAAGAAATTCAACTCTTGAAAGTTATATATTATACGTATTGCCGATCGGTGGAAATGGCGTTCACAAGGAAAAGAAGAAATTAGTTGTTCGGAGGCTTTTGAGCGTTTCTTAACCATGACCACAGCCGTCTCGTACAGTGGCGCTCCCAGTTTTATCGGCTTCTGTTCACAGATGATGACGATTGGCTTCATTTTACACGTTCATTTTTAAACCGCAAGTCGGGCCCTCGCCTGCAGGGGGGGGGGTGGTCCGCTCCCTGGCAGCGACGCAGTGGGAACCGGTAATGATGGTGGGGGCGACCAGGGCGGGAGGGGAATCAATGTGGCCGTGCGTGGCGGCCGCGCGTGGCGGCCGTGCTTTCCTTTTAAGACGCACGTTTTAATTTGCACAGGGAGCTGTTTTTGCAGGGCTGCGTTGGGAAAGGGGGGGGGGGGTTCCTGGCCGCCGCCACTGTTGCATGTGGCCCACGCGATGCACCACCTTGACCCCTGGGTTTGTTTTGGTTGATTTTTTTAGTAGACCGGAAGACGTGCTGAATATTATTAAGCCTTAACAGTTACATTTTTGCCACTTCGTTTACAAAGTTTGCTTTTTAAGCTTTTGTTTAAGCTTTGAGGGAAGGGAGGGGGGGAGAGATATATGAGAAAAAAGTTGATTGTTTATATACAAAAAATATTTGAATTTTGCCAGATGCAGAATACTTAAGTGTTTGTTTAAAGTGTTCAAGAGCGCGATTTGATTTGCAGCTCTTCTACCTCACGGTTTGGTGACGTTAGTTCTGGGTTCTGAAGGACGTTTCTCGCACATGAAGCAAAATAAAATGCAAAAAAAAAGTCTGCGTGGTGACTAGCATGGCAGTGATTGTACTGGTGGTGTATTAGAGTTCCTGTGGGCGAGTGGCATCACCACTGGTGTGGAAATTGGAATGTTTCTACTAATTGGCTCGCCTGATTTTTGGGTTTAGTTTGTCCTTCCCTGTGCACCTCCAATAAGCACTTGGCTACACACGGTGCAAAAGAAATTCAACATCGAACTTTGAATGGGATGACTGCCAATGTCACTCCAACAGACAGACCTGCCAGGTGAGAATTCTCAACGCATTCACTCAGATTTTATTTTACATGGAATGTAAAAACGAGTGGCAAGTTTACAAAAGTGGAAATCTGACAACTGTCAAAGTGCAAGTGATTGGTGTAGAAGGCGCACAACCCTTCCCTACTGCAGCTCTGAGTTCTTGGTCTCAGGGAGGCACAGCCCCACGATGCTGCCGCACACAAGTAGTGCAGCGATGAGCAAGATGGGCACGGTGCAGCTGGTCTCCAGCAGCGCGCCAAACAGCAGGCTGGCAAGTATGGCAGCTATGCGTGCCACCCCGGTGAACACTCCGAGCGCACTGGACCTGCAAAGCACATGCATGGCATTAGCAGGTCGCTGCAGCAGAGAACAGCACCCAGAAAGTGGAGACGATTGGTACTGCACAGATGGATGCTGCAGTTGGTAAAATAACCCAGTGTTGGAGTTAACGTTCTGAGATGGAAAGGGCAGGGAAAAAATAGAATTATGGGCAATTACTGCCCACATTTTCGTATCCAAGGCCAATGTCCTTAATGACGAATGGGACCAGACACGTTCATCCTGGGATGCAGTTCAAGGTGAGGACTTCAAGAGACCAGGAATGGTCTTTTCAAATGTTGAAAGCAAGTCCAAAGTGAAGCAAATCCTGAGCAAAAACAACCGCCTCGGCATTTAAAAATAAAGTGCAACTTTAAATGCAACTGTTGGGTTATTGCTGTTTGCAAAATGTTGGTTGTGATAATTCAACGTGGTGAGCTGAAAGAATAAAGGGTGACTTGAACACTCAAAGTGATTTTTATCATTTGTGGCTAAGCCAGATGCTGGACTTAGCCCTAATCCAAAAAATACATTGTGGGGGGGGGGGGGGTCACCGTAGCATGGTGGGGTACATCTCGATGCCAATGACATCCAGCGCATTCCATGCCACCACAGAGATGGCACTGAAGAGGCACGCTGCAGCCAAGCTCTGCAGCCGCGTGCACACAGCCCAAAGCAGGAACACGCAGCCCCCAGAGAGCAGCAGGCTTGCCCCTGCACACACAGGTCCCCAGAATATCTGCCTCAGGCTTGTTGGGGCAAGTGCTGTGAAGGCCGGGTGGGTGGTGAGGCGCCACATGACCCCCAGGTGCTTGTTGATGAGAGCCAGACTGGGTGGCCGATGACCTGTTCAGCTAACAGCAGAAGGCTGCCAGCAGGAATCAATTCGAGGCTGTTATCCCACAGCCCCTACCATCCCAAGCACCCTTACCCAGCAGCAGCCGCCCCCCTACACGGCCCATGAGCAGGATGCTGAGGATGTTCCCAGGGAGGTTAGCAGCAGCTGTGATGAACCCGTCCATGTACACTGCATAAATGCACAGCACGCACAATTACAAGCAGGCAGGCAAGAAGGTACGCACACAGTACCCACAGTACATGGTCTGGCGAGCTTACCGATTGTCTTCACGGGGTAACACAATGTCCAGTTGCCTGCACTGGCAACATCGGTGTGGTTACTTGGGGGAGTAGAGCAGGGAGAGCCTCCATGCTCCTCGCTCCTCCTGAACAACTCGGGCAGCCACATCCACAGCCCATAGTACCTACACCACCACACCATCAGCGCACAGCCCATCATACCTACACCACAGCCAATACTACCTGCACCATGCCACCAACACCCCATAGCACTTATCCACACCAAACCACATCCTACTTGGCAACCACTGCCATAGTACACTAGAACCTCACCACTGCAATGCACACAAATGAGTGGTTGGGTGAGAGATGGTTGGAGAGGTGGAGTGAGGGGTCAGGTGAGTGGTCACACCCGAAGGAGATTGAGAAGAAGATGGAGGAGAGAGCCCAGCTGCTCCTCCCAAGTGACCCACAGAACATCTTGCGCAGGCGGCCTACCATCTTGACACACGGGCAGGTGGGGAATGAGGACATGTTCACACAAAGTATGTACATTCGCATTGGCACACAGGGACTCGGGCACAAATGCATGCACACAGACGAGCACACAAGCACAGGCTTGCATACACACACCCATGTACACAAGTCACGGGCAGACACAATTGCACATGAGCACAGATTGCTGCACATTCCAAGAGTCCAGCGGTTACTCACTTGGCTACATGTGTGTGCACGGTACTCACCATGCGCGAGTAGTACACCACCTGTGCCAGAATCCCCAAGGGGATGCTCACCGCGTGCCGGTCCGAGACGCTCACCTCCAGCCGGCTCACCTGGAGTGCAGGGCGAGGGGGGCAGTGGCGAGAGTATGTGAGTGTCTAGGCGAGTGAGTGGGTGGGTCGGCGTGTAGGCGATTGAGTGTACGAATGAGTGACCGTGTGAATGCATGCGAGGGTGAGTGTGCTGCTCCAACCGGGAAGGCCCTGCGAGCGCCAGGCATGCTGCGGTGGTTGTGAGTAAAGATCCTGCGAAATACGGCGAGCGCCGCCTCCTCCTGCCCCGTCTGGGGGCAACACCAACGGGGAGAGGTGAGCAGGGAGAGCGGCACACTAACACCACCACTCTTATCACTCACCACTACAGTCACCATGTACAAACGCTCACCACTCACGACATCGTGAACCAACATGCTCCCACTCGGCGACACCATCTACCAACATTCACTGCTCCCACACCACCACTCTTCATCACTCACCAGTCAGCACTCACAGATTTCACATACCAACGTTCACCTCTCATCGACCCCACCACTCACACTCATTGATCATTCACGATTACTCACCACCCACTATACGCTCTTCTGTTGCTTTTCAAATGGCATACAAATGAACAAGACTCACACCCTACCCACTCACACCACCTACGCATCAACACTCTGCACCACCTGGTCACACCAATGCTGTCCAACCACTGCCCACTATCACAGCCACTCAACCTCTGCATCGGAATGAATACCCCATTTGAGACCCAAGGATCACATCTCCTGGCTTTTACATTCCTCCTCGAAGACACCGGTGGAATTTATCAACCGCATCTGAACATCAACAGGCCGATGTGCACATTTTCCTTCATAGATGGAAAATTAAAGACAGCCAAAGTGGTGCGATTGTGGCCATGCAACCCAAACTATGGACCGCACAGTAAACCCACTGTGGTCTGCACTCCTTCAGCGAAGGACGAGGAACATTAAAACGACACGAATTATCTGCTGAAGCCCTCTTGTCAAGTCAAGAAGACCTAGACATAGGCATCAAGTTGCTGAGCCATAGGACAGCTGCTGCTGCCATCACATGCGAGAACATATGAGCGCCGAGAGGAGCTGAGTGGCGAGGCACCTGCATGAGGAACTTAGGGCTCTCGGGGAGGCAGCAGGCAAAGGCGACGCTCGACGTGAGGCTTGGCACGGAGCAGACGGCGACGAACACGCGCCAGCTCCACACGCCAAGCGCCGGCAGCGGGATTATCAACCACGCCAGCCCTGGGGACATGCAGGCGCGGGGCACACACATGCACACAGATATATGGGTACGCACGTGCACACGACATACAAATGCGTCGAATTTATTTAGATTTATACCCAGGTGAGGACTCAAGAAACCAGGATGGTCTCATTTGTAAACGTGACATGCAGCAACACGCACAGATAACGATTCTCCGTGTAGCTGTATGGGATCTTGGGGCAAGTACTGTCGCCAATAAACCACTGAAGGCCGGCACAGTGCACAAGAGGGTGCTGTGGCTGTGTCGGTGAGGGAATACGGCTGTGCGGTAGAGAGACTGTGGTAGTCTGATGGTGAGGTGGCGATGTGATGAGACGTTGAGGCTGTGATGGTGTCAGAGTGCGGTAGCGAGTCTGTGGTGATGGTAAGGTTGCGGTGATGGAGTGCAATATGGGGGAGAGGCCATGGTGGTAGTGGGCGTGATGAGTGAGGTTTACCGGCCGCCAGTATGTTTCCTCCCATCCAGAACGTGGCCAGTGCGCTGACCATTGCGCCGCGCCACCGCCGTGGCTGGAACTCGGAGAAGTAGGAGAAGATGACCGGCAGAGACCCCCCCACCCTGCACAACATCCACAGTGGTCACAGGTGGGATCACGTGACCCGGGCAGCTTCTTCTCATTTCCGATATTCCGTCTCGTAAGAGACGCTCGGGCAGGAACGGGCGACCGGGTGAGAGTCACGCCAAGCAGTCTTCCTCGCCGTACATTGCACCCCGTGGCGCTGTGCGTGGCGGCGTGCGTGGCGGAACTCACCCCAGGCCGCTGCCCAGGCGCATCAGCAGGAAGAGCAGGAAGCTGGGGGCGAGGCTGGAGAGGGCGCTGAAGATGCCGTTGACGGCTAGCGAGTAGACGAGCACCTTGCGGCGGCCGCTCGAGTCCGCCAGGGCACCCCAGACGCAACCGCCCATCATCATACCTGGCGGTGCAGCACGTGCGGGCGAACGCACTGCGGTGAGAACCCGAGCGAGCGCCTCGTCCTGCGATGCGGTGCGACGTGATGCGGCGCGTACCGATGAACATGCACGCAGTGAGCCAGCCCATGTCAGCGGTGGAGAGGTGCAGGTCGCAGCGCGCCGTTGGGAGGAGGAAGGACACGCACAAGATCTCCACGGCGTCGCTGGCGTTGGCCCAGCCGCAGGCCACCAGAAGCCAGGCGTGGAAACGGCCAAACCCTGTGGGCCACGCGGATCGGGTGGGGGTCCGTGAACACAAACATCTGCCAGCTGTTGGCTCTCGTCTCTCACACAGCCGCAAAGGCAATCTCGCTCTGACACCTCTGCAGGCAGTTGTACGCAAAGCCTGACACCCATCCACTCACCCAGATGGACGGATGGAAGGACATAGCCCTGTGAGCCATTCGGCTCTTGAATCGGGTGCAACCGCAACAAACAAAAAAACAAAAACACGAACAAGAAAACATCTTAAAGTGACTATGTGACTGCGCAAACAGAAAATCCAGGAAAAAAAACAGCAAAATATTCCTGAAAAAGCACCGTACACCAACGCTGTGTGCAAAAATCCCAGTGGGATGCAAGTCAAACAACAAGACAACTTAGATTAAGGCCATCAGTCTAACTCCGTACTACAGAAGATGGTCACCCACCGGTGTGCTCGAGCGCCTCCTCGTGGGAACAGCCATCGTAGTCGAGCGGCTCTGCGTCCCCGTCTGGAGGCCACGCCGGTGCGTGTGGGGAGGAGCGGGGCCCCCCGGGGCCTGCGGGACAGGAGGACGTCAGGAGGTGGCGGCCCAGCCGTGTTTACCTCTCTCAGGGCGGCCCTGGGAGTAACCCCGACCTCAACTACAGAGGTCTCCCTGTCACGGGGGCAGGTGAGTGGGATAGAAAGCAGGTGAGGGACAGTAGGGAGAAGGTGAGTGGACAGAGAAGGTGAGCAGCAGGTAAGAAGGTACAGATGCAGGGGTGAGGGTACAGGTGATGATATTCATGAGGATTCAATCAAGTGAGATACAGTGGTGAGGAGACCAAGGTGCTGATCAGGGCGAGGAAGTAAAGTTGCGGATGTTAGGAGATGAGATGAGGCAGGAGATTAAAGTGCAGGTAAGTGTACTGAGGTGAGGCGGTGTGAAGGTGAGGTGTGGTGAGTGTGATGAGGTGAGCGTTACAAGGGAGAGGTCATGGAGGCGCAACTGACAAGTTGAGGAACCAGCTGAGCGGGTGAGTGGACAGGCGAGCAGCCGGGTGAGCGGACAGCTGAGCGGGTGAGGGTGGAGGTGAGGGACACAGGCTCCCGGGGCTCGCTCACCCTCCCGGTCCCCGCGGCCCCCACGGCCCCCGCGGCTCCCGCACTCCGCGCCCCGCGGCCCCGTGAGTCCCAATAGCGGCCGTGTCGCCTCGCGCTCCGACATCTGGGCCGCCGATCAGGCCGCCGCTCGCGCTCGCTGATTGGTCCGGAGCCTTGCCGGGGCGGGGCCTCTGGTCACGATCCTCGTAGGGGCGGGGCCTTTAATCGATCTCGGGTTCTCTTATTGGTCAGCTCCCAAGTAAAATGCGGGGCCTCTATCGCACAATCCTCGTTATGGGCAGAGCATCTGCTCGAGCCAGGGGTTCTTTTATTGGTCAGACATCTCTCAGTGGGCGGAGTTCCAGCCTGAGTCCCTCCTAGAGAGCGGGGTTATTGATAGCTTATTGGCCTCTGATTGGTCAGATCCCTAGCAGGGGGCGGTGCTTCTGGTTAATCACATTCCCGGCGGGGAAGGCGGAGTTTCCGCTCGGGTTCCTCCCTGAGGCGGGATTCTGGTCGGTTATAAAGCCTCTGATTGGCGAGCTGTCTCGCTGGAGGCGGGGTTTTAATTTAGTCACCGCCCACTCTGCGGGGCTGACCGCGGCGTAGCCACGCCCCCTGCGTGCACCCACGTGGGAGCTGTCACCGCAGAGCAATCATCATTACACAACGCGCATTGCACAACACGGGCCGATACATTACACCAGTCCATGACGTTATTGAAAATAATTAACAAATATATTCAGCTCAACACTCCTACATTACAGCACATGAGTACCACCGTGTGGGGAAGTCAACAACGGTTATCATATGGGTAGACTCGCCCCCGTCATAGGAATTTCGAATATCCACCACTGGTTCTGCAGGGCATTGAATACAACTGAATACAGTACGTTCCGCAAACACAACTTGTCACATCACATGCATGGTACAGTACCTGTACTTGTGTGTGCGTGGTGTTTGGCCTCCGCGGATACGACGTTCCCAGGAATAGTTCCCGAGGTACTCCCATTGGGGTCCTACGCCCCACGTATTGTACCCCCCCCCCCCCCCCCTTCATGTAAATAAACTCCTCCCCAAAGTACTATCCCGAGGCACTGCACACCCCCCAGGAACTGCCCCCTCCCTGGATACTACGCACCCCAGGTGCTGCCCCGTTCATCCCGCTCATCATCAAGACCGCCAACCTGCATCACCATGGAAACGCGAACCTCGATTAACTCGTAGTCCTGACGCTCCGTGCACGTGACTCGTAACTATGAATCAGTGAAAACAATTAACCAGCGGTAAATTCGGATTGCAGTAGGGGGCCGTCCATAAATGACGTCACGCGATTTTGGACAATTTCTGACCCCCCCCCCCCCTAGTCACACGGCGTCACAAAAAGTCAGACCCCCCCTCAAATATGACGTCACAAAGCTCTGCCCCCCCCTCCCCCACTAGGTGCGTGATGTAATTTATGGACGGCCCCTAGCTCATTATCACCATTATTGATCACCATCCATAATCATCCGTCATGATCCATTATCATGATCCATCACAATACATCATCATAATCATCATCAGTTATGCGTGTATGTTGAACATAGCCAACCATGTCCATTATCATAATCCCTTCTCCCCCCGGCTCGTAATCATCATTAAAGCCATCAGCAGCAGCATCACCATGATTCACCATCAGCATCGTGATCCATCACCACCACAAACTGCCCTCATCGCGATCCATCTCTCATGAGCATCACAGCCACCGTGACCGGCGTCGTGAGTTTCGCTAGAAAATTACCCCCATCCCCCCCCCCCGTTTAACCTGGGGGGGGGGGGGGGGTTCAGCACCGGTGTCACGACTTAGGCCACGCGCGTGTCCACGCGTCTGTGTCTTTGCGTGTACTGTCTGTCTTTGTGTAACCACGTATCTATGTGCGTGTGGATATGTGTCTATAGGTGCTCGCTAACAGCACCTGCCCCAACAGTCTGTTCATGCGATACGGGGGATCTTTGTCTCATGCGTGTTTGCGTGCCCTATCTTCTCCCATCTATACTTGGCCCCACAACTTCTACCGATATCCTCTTTGTCACCACTCCTCTATCTCTTTTCACTGTCCTCTGCCTCATATCCCCTATTCTCCATCCTCTCCACATCTCACACTCGCCACAACATATCCTCTGCATGCCCTCTATCCATTGCACCCTACCCCTTGTCTCCATTCCGCTAATCCATTGTCGCCAGTCCTTTCTCCTCTCTCTCCTACCCCATATTCTTAATCCCCTGCCCCCATCCCTTCTGCCCTTTCTTTTATTCCAAATCCTCTAGCCGCCCATCCCCCCTCTTAAAACCCTGTCTCCAATCCCTCTCTCTCTCCCCCTGTTCCCCTATCTCCCATCCCCTACCCCTATCCTCTACCCGCTGTCAACCTACCCCTCTCCCCCTCTCCCCTATCTCCTCTACCTCATTTTTCAATCTCCTTCCCCCTGTATCCTATCCGCTGTCCCCTATCCCCCATCCCGTCTCCTCTACCCTCTACCCATCTCCCCTACCCCGCTCCGCTCTCCCCGGACCCCCGTGTGTGAACGCGGCGCCCGGGGAGCGCGGCGGGGCCGGCATTGACGTCACGGCCGCAGGGGTCGCGGCGCGGGGAGGGGATGGGGACGGGGAGCGGCGGGGAGAGCGAGGGGTGAGCGGCGGGGAGAACGGGGAGACAGAGAGAAGCGAGAGAGGAAATAGCAGAGAGAGGGGAGGGCTCGCGCGGGAAGAGAGAGGGAAGAGCGCGGCGGCGAGCGGACGGACGAGGACGGCAGGAGGACGCGCCTCGGCTCAGGGACGGGAGTCGCTCGGCACGGGGCCCCCGGGCTCCCGGGGTCCCCGCCTCGTCCCCGCTCGCCGGGGGCCCAGGGAAGAGCGGGGTGCGTGCCGGGATCCGCGCGAGAGGAGGAGGAGAGCGGGGAGAGCGCATCACTGACTGACGCCGCGGATCCGTGGAGACATCACCAACCCCATCATCACTGACACCATCACCAGCATCACCACCACCATCATTACTGACACCACCCCATCATCCCTATCATCACTGACACTACTACCACCACCATCATCACGGACACCACCGTCATCACCACTCTACTAACACCACTATCATCACCATCATCACCGACCGCCCCCATGGGCTGCGCCCCCAGCATCCACGTGTCGCAGAGCGGCGTCATCTACTGCCGCGATTCGGACGATTCCACGTCCCCGCGCCAGACGGCCAGCGTGTCGGGCGGGGGGCCCGCGGGCTCCGGGGGGCCCCACGGCGCGGGGGCCCACGGCCTGCTCATCAAGACAGACGCGGCGATCTCGCTGGCCGTGCAGGCGGAGGGAGGTGGCACGGTGCTGGCCTGTAGCTCCCGTGCGCTTGCCTCGGCGCGCCGGCCCCGCAGAGAGCCCTGCGCCTTGAACCACAGCACCGAGGCCGAAACACAGACCAGCCGGTCCAGCATCAAGGTGACGGGGGTCGGGAGGCTGGGAGAAGGGGGGGGGGGGGATCCGGCATCCCGACCGGCATCAAGAGTCGCCATCTCTGTGTTTAGGTCATGTCCTAAACGCGTGTGTCACTCTGTGTGTGTCATTGTCTGCACGTGTGTCCGTGTTGTGTCGCGTTGTATGGTGACCGCGTGACACGCGTGTGTGTGTGTCTTCACGTCGTGACTACGCGCGTCCTCAGTTACGTGTAGAGCCATGGGTGTCGATCCACTGTTGGCCGAGGGCCTGTCCCCACGTGGCTGGAACTACACTTGTCAGTCAGTGCGGGTTTATCCAAGCCGGGAGCATAAATGGTGGGAGCATATAAGCACAGGACAATAACGAAGTGTTGCTGCACTGCCCTCTGGTGAACTCCACGTGAACACAGCCTCGCATCCGCCAGTAGAAACGTGGTGGTCGTCCACCCAAGCACTTACCAGGCTAAACCCCTGCTTAGCTGCCGAGATTTGATCGCAGGCACACACGGGTCTTCATGCCGTGTTCTAAACGTGTGCGCGAGTGTCAGTGTTCACACGTGTGTGGGAGTGTCGTAGCCTTGTGTGTTCATGCCGTGGCTGCACTCGTGCTGCTGATGCTGCGTGACCTTCTCTCTCGACTTCTTGCCGTGACATTGCGCGTCTGGGCGTGTTTGGGGCTGTCATGCGGCCGTGACCTCGGCACGCATGTCTGTGTGACCTCACGCGTGTCGATGACCTACACGCTATGCCCATGCAGTGCTGTAAGATTATTCGTGTTCAAGAGAGATGGGGATGATGATGGGAGGAGGAGTAAAATGGGGTTGTCCGTACGGACTCAGCACGGGGAAGGAGATGATGGCGATGCCTCATCATCATCTGTTCTTGTGATTGCTGTTGTCGTTGCTGTTGTTATGGTTGCTCTGTCATCGCTGTCTCTGCTCTTGCAAGTGCACCCGCTTACCATCACCTAAGCTCGACGTATATTCACACTCTCTTCTCGTTATGCATTTAACATGACCACTCTCCCGTAGTGATATCGTTTGCACCATGCTTACTTATATTAACGCACGGTAGTCATATAATATTGTACTGGTATTAATAGATGATGGCTACACGATGGTGATGACGATGGTGGACTTCAGTGAATCTGGTGGCACAGCTCATATGTATCCATTATACGACTGGATTGTATTCACACTGCTACGACTGTTACTTGAGGCCATCATAACTTGGCCCCCCAGGGCTGAGGGCCTATGTAGGCACCCTCTCGAAAGTCCACGGTGAATATCTGTGTTACACGCACAGTCGCACCCCCATGAGTCGCAGGTTACTCTCCTCCTTGCCGACTGCACCCTGCGCGGCACAGGCTCGCTCCACTGCTGTCTCTACAACACCGGCGCAATAGCCACCAACCGTATCGTCAGAACATCATCCACGGGCCGATGCTGCACCACATCTCCTTCACGAACGGATAATTAAAGACAGCCACAGTGGTGCGATTGTGGCCATGCAACCCAAACTGTTAACCATACAGTAAATCCATTGAAACACGTGGAGATACCTAAAGACTCACAGAGATACATAAATACAACCCACAGTAGTGCGATTGTGGCCATGCAACCCAAACTATTGACCCATATAGTAAACCACTGTCGACTGCGCTCCTTCAACGGAAGATGAGGAGGAATAGCAAAACTACACGAATTGTGTCATGATGCCCTCTCATCGTGGCTAGCAGACTTCGAAATTGGCATTTAGCTCATGAACCGTATTTCCATGTGCAAGAATAGAAGTACTGCTGCTGAGGCCCCATGCCCCCTGCAACCCATACTGAGTACGCGAAAGAAGTTCAACAGCCTGACCGTGTCGCCTTATTCCACATTATTCAACCACCTGACTGCAGATCACAAGAACACACCCACCCACTCACTAACCCACTCACCCACCCATTCACTCCCCCACCCACTCACCACACCGTAGGTCACCTCACTTCTCTCTCTCTGCTTCTGCCGTCGTACGGCTTCACTGAGGAGTTCCCCCTTCTCCCATCGTCTCTTTCCCCCAAGCTCTTTCAACAAACACTGTGCTTAATCCAAGATACACTTATCTACTGTATTACAACTGTGAGAATGCTGTTTGTTGCTGGCTATTTGACGTTTTGGGCCTTTGGCCTTGTGCCCAGCAACTATGTTTAGATAAAAAAAAGTATAAATATCCCTCGGTCTTGTCTCGATCAGAGTAAAGGGAGGGAGAGAAACTTCCGGATAAATTCTCCCACCGGGAGCCTTGAACTCTGTACGGACCTTAATCTCACTCCTGGTTTTTCAGCATGTCCTCCGTCATGGCCCTGGACCTGAACAGCGTGTGCCCTGATCCATTCCCGTGGGCCCGATCCCTCCCCGTGAGCCCCGATCCCTCCCCATGAGCCCCGATGCCCTCTCACTGGATCGTGGGGCAGTAGCAGCACGAGCAGTAGCAGCTGTGTAAATGACCGAGTGTCGTCGGCGCTTCAAGGGGATCGATGGCCGTGGCCCCACTCCGCGGCAGGTTCGAGGGCGGCCCTGTGTTGTGTGGATGTGTGTGTTTGGGGGTGTGTGGGTGAAGTCGAGGCCACGTTCCGGGGTCCAGGGAGGACACGGCAGGACACGCGGGAGGGGACTCTCGCTTTGTGTGGCCGGCTGCATAGAACATTCAAACAGCGTCGAGTGCGATCTCCCCGTGGATGTTCTTGAAGCATCATAAGTTTAAGGGACAAACATCACTCAAGGTTGTTATGCAACCAGCTGCTGAAGCTTTGTCTAGAGTTGCCACCTGTCCGGGTTTTCCCAGGATTAGGAGCTAACCACTACACCGCCACTCTCCACGACTCCGCTACCCACACAATCCAATTTACATACAGGCAGATACACACTCACTCGTATGTCCACTCACAACTTCACTATTAACTCGGATTGCCACCTCTCCTGCTTCCCCAGGATCCTCCTCTCTTTGAGGCAGCTGCTCTGTCCGTCTTCCAGGGACATTACAAGTCCCGCTTTCTGTGATGGGTACTCATGGGGGTTTGAGACGCACAGGTGGCGTGGTCCAGCGGTGGCGGGTCCGCCACTTGTTTCAGAGGTTCACGGTTTGATTCCAACGGCCGCCCTGGTTAATACTACGGGTGTAATTACCGTCGTAACATGCACCCGTCTGTTTAACAGCGGACGTTTAAGTTGCTCTGATGTCATTCACAAGAGTAGGCCATCGTCAGGGTCCACATTTACCAAAATATGAAAATTAAAAATTATTTAATTGGGATCATACTGTATGCACTGTATACAGCAGTAAACATCGCCCCCTACTGACAGACTCATGCCCCAGGTCACTCTTGCAAATGAAACGATCATCCTGGTCTCTTGAGTTCGTGTCGTTTTGCTGTTCCATTTATGAAGGAGGTGTGCGCATCGGCCTGTTGATGTTCTGATGCAGTTGATCGTTGCACTAGTGTCTTTGAGGAGGAATGTCAAAGGCAGGCGGTGTGATGTTTGACTCTCCAATGATGTGTTTATGTGCCAATCGATACTCTAGACACTTTTACAAACGAGGATTGCTGGATCAGACAAAATCGTGAAACTCCCACCCTTTCTGTCTCCTGGCTCGCCAGGGTAAGATGGCAGTTCAACAAATTGATTCATTTTCATCTGTATTCCATCCGTACGGGGATGGAACGTGTGGGGCTTTTCTGGGTTTTCCAGTTTCTCGCACACCTCCGATTAGCGCGGTTGGCTATATACGATGCGAAAAAAGTTTAAGCCATATCGATCATTTTAAAGAGTTCGCCAAACACCCCAATAGAGGACGGCAGAGCGTGGGCAATTGTTGATGATGGGTTCTGGTACCCTTCCCGCTTTTCTGTAGTTTCTCCACATCTCTGAATCCTCGATTCTGTCTGTGAGTGAGCGAAAACTGCGTTGACAATTCCATGTTGATGATGTTCTTCATGAGAAGAGAGAGCAAGCCGTGGAATATAGTCGACGGCGCATGGCTCGGATCTCCCCCTGGGTTACGTGGCGGGGCCCTCGATGCCCGGGCTCCAGACCGCCCACGGTGGCCTCGGTTACCGCCACCGTCGCCAGGCAAGAGCCGTGATCTCCAGGGTAGCGGCACTTCGGATTTAGGTCCTGGGCGGCCACGGGGGGCGGCAACAACAGCAGCAACGAGGTGTTCCCTCGCGGCTGAGACGAGAGCCGGTGTCTGTGTGTGTACGGCACCCGGTGCGTGCAGGACACAGGCGCACGTGACCCAGCGGACGTGTACAGAGCGCACACCGCGCTCGTCCGCCTCCCCGTTTCGCCGTTTCTATCCTGGGCCGCCTCCAATAACCGTCCGAGGCACGCACTCTCCACTCGGTGTGTTGCCAGAGTTGTGTCCCTGCAGACAGATATCCACCCCTCAACCGTCTACCGGGGACGGTGTACGCGCTTTGTGCTTGGCTCGAATTTTCCTTGAGTCCAACTTTGCAGCCTCCTGGGTTAGGTTCTGCCATCACTCTCTGTAACAATGAAGAGCAGCAAGCCAATGCACCCTTGGGAGAGCGCTTTGAGCCAGCGCAGGTACCTGTCATGACGTTGGTTAGAATCATGCACAGTGACCAAATGATTCAAGACATACTACGAAGTGTACACAAATAATCAATGGAGAGGTGCAAGCATGAATTCAATTTGAGAGATAAAGGGACACTTGGATGAGAGAGAGTAACGGGCTCAAAGGGTATATGGCCGGTGGTCGAGATTAACAACGCCAGAGAGAACATGAACTATGGAGATGGAGTGATAAAATGAGCTCGTGTGCAGGAATAAATGGATTGATGGATCGCAAACCACGTGACATTTTAAGGCTTCGGAAGGCCTTCGTCCAGCAGTGGATGAATCGCGGCTGATGAGGTTTATGATGATGTCAGCATAGCCCGTGTTTATTCATGACAGAACATTCACCAAGACATGGGGCATGCCGTGTGTGTAGCTG